TAAAAATTTTGTATTACCGACTTCAATATAAATTATTAATAATAACTCAAAAGCTATTGGTTAGACCTTGATCAAATTTATATAGGACCACACGAAAAGCACCAGTTTCAAATAAAAAAAGAATCATCGAAAACGGTTCACCCAGTAAAAAGTTATGAGGTAACACACATAAAAAAGGGCATACAGCCGAATTGAGTACCGTCTCCTTTTTGAAGTCGGTAGAGAAATGGGGTTTAAAGTTGAACACTATTTTAAAGTTGCTTTCTATGAAATAGCGTTTAATAAAACTGCACAAATAAAAACAGAACAATGTCTGAAGTTATCTAGACTATATTTTAAAATAAAAACTTTTGAAAAAAGAGAAATATTGATAAAAATAATAATCTTTGACTTTACCTCTAAATGAATCCATATTACTATTAATAATGTAATATAACTATTAATAATAGTATCTATATACTACTCTGGCGAAGACAGAACTGGTCGCTATTAAATAAATAAACAAAATGCACAATAAATTGCAAAACTAATTACAAACCGCCTCAGTTAACTTGATACGGCAAAGAAATAGTCTATGGAATACTTTCTAGTATTGATTAATCTGGGGGCACGGCAGTGCCCCCGCCAAGTCGAGCAAAAAAGCGGCACGGCCGTACCATCTTTTTCTCGATGCAGTTCAGGCCATTTTCGACCCCTATAACTTCGTTGTGGATAAAACTAGAAACCTGAATTTTCACTAACCAAGTAGACATTGTATAAACTCGGTATATTTGAAATTTCATTAAATTTGAACCAGTAGTTTAAGAATTATAACTAGTCAAAGTATCTTAATTTTGTCACTCACTGACTGACCGAACATCAAAACTCTAAGGCACTTCTAGCAGACATGGAAGCTTTAAATTTGGAATACAATTATTGTTTAGTATATAAATCAAGGAAAAATTAAAATATTTTGCAATTTCGGTCCAGTTTACGAGATACACCAACTGCATAAATAACTTTGTAATCCCATATAAATATATAGGATTACAAAGTTACATTTGCAGTATAGTGGCGGTTAAGAATATCCACTACCCCATATCTTCTCGTGGGTGTCGTAAAAGGCGACAAAGGGAAACAGGCAGGAAATGGGCAGCAGCATCTTCCTGGTAACGGCAAAAATACAATAAAAAACTGCGGTTGCCAACCCGCTCGCCAAGCGTGGCAACTATGGCAATATACCCCCCATGATTAAAGTTACGAAGAGACGGCCCCCAGTCCCTGGCGGCCCCGCTATTCCTGGCTACGGTGGCGATCATGGTAACGGCGGGGCAGGGGGTGCTAAGAATCTCCGGTGGAGGTTCGGTTGCCACCTACGACGACTTGACCTGGCAACATACAACGCACGCACCCTGAGGACTGACGAGAAGATTGTGGAGCTGGAAGAAGAGATAGACAAGTTACGCTGGCATATTATAGGATTATCCGAAGTCCGAAGAGAGGGGGAGGACACGGTAATCCTCAAATCCGGAAACTTGCTCTATTACCGGGAGGGCGACCATCTGTCCCAAGGAGGTGTCGGATTTATCGTCCACAAGTTTCTCGTTAACAACGTTGTAAAGATTGAGTGTGTCGACGAGGGATGCGTACCTTATACTCAGAATCACCAAACGGTATTCGCTGAAGGTCATACAGGTTTACGCACCAACCTCGGCACACCCCGATCAGGAGGTGGAGGAAATGTATGAGGATATCTCTAGAGCCATGCATTCCTCCAAAACCCAATATATGGTGTTAATGGGAGACTTCAATGCAAAACTAGGCACAAGAGAGAACGGTGAGCTGAAAGTGGGGAAATTTGGAATAGGGCAACGGAACCCAAGGGGCCAGCAGCTGTCCGACTTCATGGAAAAAGAGGGACTCTTTATGACGAACTCTTTCTTCCAGAAGCGGCTCCACAGGAAGTGGACCTGGTCGAGCCCCGACGGTTCGACAAAAAATGAGATTGACTTCATTATGACGACCAGACGACAACTGTTCAGTGATGTCTCAGTGATCGCGAGGATGAAAACCGGCAGCGATCACCGAATGGTTAGAGGCACACTGAACCTAAACGTTAAGTTGGAGAGAGGTCGCGTCTAATGAAGTCAACGCTCCGTCCCCCTCGTGCTCTAATCCAAAGTCCCGAAACCTTTCAGCTCGAGTTACAAAACCGTTTTCAGTGCCTAGAAGACTGCAATGAAGTGGACGATTTGAATGACAAGCTCGTGGAAACTGTCCATGCGGTCGGAGATAAGTTCTGCAAGACCCGCCGCAGAAGAACACAAAAACTCTCCGATCACACTCTTAATCTCATGGCTGTTAGACGGGAGATGAAGCTACATTCTTCAACAGATTTGACAGCATACAGGCAACTGAACAGACAGACCTCCAAATGCATGCGGCGGGACTTACGCAACTTCAATACAGCTCGTATTGAAGAAGCGATCGAGCGGAACCAATGCTCCAAAGTCTTTGCCAGAGATCTGTCTGCCAGAAAGAGCCAACTGGCAAAGCTGAAGACGGAATGTGGCAGCATCGTTTCCGGGACTCCTGAGATTTTGAGTGAGATTGAGAGGTTCTATGGGCAGCTGTACACGTCATCGTTGGAGCCGCACGCAAGTGTGAGTAACGATCCAAGAGCGAGTCTTATCCGACATTATTCCGATGATATCCCGGACGTCAGTCTGAGCGAGATTAGAATGGCTCTCCAGCACCTTAAAAACGGCAAGGCCCCAGGCGAGGATGGAATTACAGCGGAGCTTCTGAAAGCGGGTGGAAAACCGGTACTTGAAGTCCTTCAGAAGCTCTTTAATTCCGTCCTCCATGGTGACATTACACCGGAGGCGTGGAGCAGAAGTGCGGTGGTCTTGTTCTTCAAGAAAGGCGACAACGCTCTCTTGAAGAACTACAGACCGATTTCCCTTCTGAGCCGCGTCTACGTGCTGTTTTCGAGAGTCATTACGAATGGTCTCGCGCGCAGACTTGACGACTTCCAGCCTCCCGAACAAGCCGGTTTCCGAAAAGGCTTTAGCACCATAGACCACATACATACCCTTCGGCAAATTGTACAGAAGTCCGAGGAGTACAATTTGCCACTAAGTCTGGCGTATGTGGACTATGAGAAAGCCTTTGATTGCGTCGAAATTTGGGCGGTGCTGCAGTCCCTTCAGCGATGCCAAGTTGACTGTCGGTATATCGAAGTGTTGAAGTGCTTGTACAGTAGGGCTACGATGGCTAGCCGAGTACAGAACCAGAGTACGAAACCTATCCAATTGCAGAGAGGTGTAAGACAGGGTGACGTCATATCCCCGAAACTCTTTATCGCTGCATTGGAAGATGTTTTCAAGCTTCTGGACTGGAAAGGATACGGTATCAACATCAATGGCGAGTACATCACTCACCTTCGATTTGCCGACGATATAGTCCTTATGGCAGAATCGCTGGAGGACCTAAGCACTATGCTCAATGACCTCAATAGTGTTTCCCAACGGATAGGTCTTAAGATGAACATGGACAAAACAAAGATCATGTTTAATGTCCATGTCACACCTATGCCGGTAGTTGTTGGGAACACTAAGCTCGAAGTTGTTGACGAGTATGTTTACCTGGGACAAATAGTCCGACTAGGTAAGTCCAACTTCGACCGAGAGGGCAATCGACGGATTCAACTCGGTTGGGCAGCGTTCGGGAAATTATGGCACATCTTCTCGTCAGGTATACCTCAAAACTTGAAAACGAGACTGTACACCCAGTGCGTGTTGCCAGTGATGACATACGGAACTGAGACGTGGTCCTTCACTGCTGGCCGGATGAGGAAGCTCAAGGTCGCTCAGCGAGTTATGGAGAGGACTATGCTCGGAGTTTCTCTGCGTGATAAACTCAGAAATGAGAATATCCGCAGTAGAACCAGAGTGACCGACATAGCCCAACGAATTAGTAAGCTGAAGTGGCAATGGGTCGGCCATATAGCTCAAAGAACCGACAACCGATGGGGAAGAAAGGTTCTCGAGTGGCAGCCTCGTACTGGCAGGCGAAGTGTAGGGCCTCCCCCCACTAGATGGAGTGACGACCTGGTAAGATATGCAGGAAGTCGATGGATGCAGGTGGCTCAGGACCGTGCTTTGTGGCATTCTATGGGGGAGGCCTATGTTCAGCAGTGGACTTGTGAAGGGCTGTAATGATGATGATGATGATGATTCTCAAACCGGGTAAAGCCAGTGAAGACTATTTAATTATGATTTGCAGTAAATGAATCAGTGTACCTATATATGTATAATATAATGGAATAATAGGTGTAGATAGGTACCCAGATATAACTATCTACAAAAAGAAATCAAAAACATAACTTGTAAAAAAAGCCAAGTCTCGCAACTCAGTTCTTCTACTGTAAAAAGTTGTGAGATACGTGTAATACCAAGTCGGTTAATTTATTCAGGCTCTACTTGAGGGTTCTTCTGCTTTAAGTTACTACGTAATTAGCTAACCTAACAGCATCTTACAGTGACCATATCAATATCAAAAATCTTTTATGTTTTAAATAAATAAATTGACTTGGCAATCGCACTAAACAATCTAATTTAATATAATATGTATTACTTGGGAGATACATTGTGTTTACATGCGATGGCCAAGTCATTCTATTTATTTAAAATATAAAATATTTTTAGTATTGATGTGGTCACTATAAGATGTTTTTAGATTAGCTAATTACGTAATAACTTAACACAGAAAGACCCTTACCTCACAACTTTTTACGGTAGAAGAACTGAGTTGCGAGACTTGGCTTTTTTTACAAGTTATGTTTTTGATGGCATTTATTTGACTGCTTAATAAAATAGAAAAATGTATGTATTTTTTATTCGAGTTTACCACTTAAGAACCGGTTATCGGATATAGCTCGCGGACACTAGTCAGATGGGGAGTCATGATTATAATAATGATAATCGTCATGATCATCGCCATGCTCGTCATCGTCTGATTCAATTACTCACTTCAATTACTTGAGTGATTGAGTAATCGTCCTCTACGTCATCATCGTCGTCGTCACTATCAATGATCATAACAGCATCATTATCACTAATGCCCTTCTGAGCATTCACGAACACTTTTCTTCTGCCTTCATCAACTTCCTGCATAGTTTACATATAGTAAAGACCTACCACTAAACTCCACTTACCGGTGCAAAGCTGCCACTTGAGAATCATTTTTTTCTATTGGTTTTTTTCTCGTGCCACGCTGTTGATATTGTTGATATTCAGCTGCAGATATATTATGGTTGTAGCGTGAATAGGTCGGACAGGGGTAGGGAGCACGCTCTCACAGAATACCATCGTTATTTAGCAGCTGAATGCTGCTGTGTTTCGTATGGTGAGTGTAGAGACCCGGAGACCCTTTTTACTGGAAACGAGGCATTCCATCTTAGTCCTTAGGGGTGACAACGCATCTGCATTTTAATTCTTAATTGAGTATTAATGTACATGTCTATGGACTACAGTATCCACTTACCATCAGGTGGACTGTGTGTTCGTTTGTTACCCTTTATATTCTATAACAATTTAATATTAAAAATGTTGTACAACCGACTTCAATATAAATTATTAAGAATAACTCAAAAACTATTTTGGTCAGACCTAGATCAAATTTATATGGGACCACGTGAGGAGCACCAGCTTTCAAAAAAAAAAAGAACCATCGAAATCGGTTCACCCAGAAAAAAGTATAGAGTCGAATTGAGTACCGTCTCTTTTTTGAAGTCGGTTGAAAATTACACGCGAAGTTAGTAAAAGCGTTTTGTAATTAAATAATATTGAGAGGCTAAGAAAACTTAACAACACGCATTCGTCATGAGCTATGATAATCCTAGTGAGAACACTGGGTCATAATTATTAAAATATTGTATTGTCATCGGTACATGTCCTTGGAAATTTTCAAAAAGTCAATCGGCCGTCTGTAAGTTGGTGAAAATAACATTAAAATATTCCGTTGTAATTATAAATAGATACACGCAAACCTAATGACAGCGTGTCAAAATATTACCATGTGTCTGAGAATATTCACTGTCCCATGTCGAGGCAACGAGGAAGAGACAGAAGGAAACCGCTTGCCAAGCGTGCCAACTATGGCAAATATCCCCTATATGATGTAATCTATGCGAATGGCCTATGTTCAACAGTGGACTCTTATGGGCTCTTATGTAATTTGATCCAAATAAGAATTATACTTACCTGGCGCCATATTGTCACTTCATAACTGTCAATTCAAACCAGTTAGGCAGCGTGAACAAAACAGGTATTTTTGAAATAATATTTATTTACAAAAGAACCATGAACGAGAAAGTGTTAATCTAAATCTAGCGTTTCAATTTCGCCCATCTCTGCGTCGCTGTCTGAGTCGTCATCATTATAATCATTATCAGCACTGCTGCTTCCTCTTATAAAAATGGAACATGGATTTATGTAGGTATTTAAAATATTTTACAGTCGAGTATCAATTTTTAAATTATTTTATAAAAATAATCACGAGTTCAATAGATTTGGTAATACTAAGACTCACTTAAATAGATATCATCATACTTGTATTATTAGGTGTATGTATGTATTCGAATTTATAATAAAATACCAAATAACATAAAATCACTTCATAAATTATTTAGGAAAAGAATATTGGTTTATCACAATGAAAAACAATTTTTAGACATTAGGGACCTATTTATTAAATGTAACTAATATTTTTTTAATTAATTAATCTAAAAGAATCTAAAAAAAAATTTAATTAAATAATTATATTATAATTATTTAATTTAAATTTATAAAATAATTCTGTTGTATTGGATTAGATTTGTTTAGAAAAATTTCATTTGTAGTACTATCTATGTAAATTTATATGCTATTTACAATCACATAGCAAAACATGTTATGTTTTAAGAATTGTGTACCATCCTTATCTGTCCATGATAAGCAAATATAAGTAACCAGCTGGTACCCGGCGCGTTGCTGCCGCAGAAGAAATAATGGTGGTAATATCGTTTTAAATTGGGAAGAGTTATATTATTAGGAATGACAATGCATTCATTGATGTTGAATGATATATGACTTACAAATGTGTCGGTACTATACGCATGCCACCTACTGTAAGTTAATTGTACTATGCCCATAACAACCCATACGTACCCAAGTATAAAATAATAATAAACGCGCATTGTCCAGAAATTAGGGGATCTATGAAAATCTTAGTCAACACTTTCATTCGAAGTCAGATGTTCTGTAGGCAAGAAGCCAACTACAGCCAATACAACCAACCAAGCGCCATGATTCTTTTATACGATACTAACGTCACACAATTGTTTTGCCTTCCCGGAACACTTAAACTTTATGGTATGGTATTAAAGTTCAAATTGACTTTTAAGTATTATTACGAATCTTTTGTATGGGAATATAGAAAATTATTGTTTTTACACTTTTTTAGGCAATTTTTTGAACTTCTCTCTCCGTAAGAACCATCTTCGTACTTCAAGGAATATTATAAAAAAAGAATTAGCGAAATCGGTGCAGCTGCTCTCGAGATTTGCGCTTAGCAACACATTCAGCGATTCATTTTTATATTATAGATAAATAAATAAAATACAATTAGTATTTTTTTTTATAGGATAGGGTGACAAACGAGCACACAGTCCACCTGATGGTAAGCGGTTGCTGTGTCCCATAGACATCTATATCTATCCTCGTCTGCGAATCAAAATGCAGATGCGTTGTCATCCGTGAGGACTAAGATAGAATGCCTCTTTTCCAGTAAAAAGGGTCTCCGGTTCTCTACACTCACCATACGAAACACAGCAGCAAGCTGCTATTCGACGCTGGTATTCTGTGAGAGCGTGGTCCTTCCCCGGTCGAGTCGACCCATTCGTGCTACAACTATACTACTAATATAGCTGCAGCATGGCTCTACCACGTTTATTACCAGTTACCAGTATTTCTGTCTGTCAAGTAACTGAACATTATCGTTTTTAATAACTTATTAACAAAATAAATACTTCACAATATATTGATTCATTCTATTGTAAATTTTTAGGGAGACTGATGATAGCTTTAGCGGACAGTTGATGACGATCGTATTTCAAAATGCTAAAACTGAGGATCAAGTCACCATCGGAATACTTGTTTCGCCGTGTCCAAATAACACCATGTGCAGACATTTAATATACAAAACCATCACGATCGAGTTCCGTAAGCCGACAAGCCAAAAGTTTTATCTCCATATGTGATAGTTTTGTACGGTCTTTGTTAAGGTTTCATTAACACAGCATGTAACGTTGGTTTATACATGGTAGAGCCATGCTGCAGCTATATTAGTAGTATAGTTCTAGCACGAATGGGTCGGCTCGACCGGGGAAGGACCACACTCTCACAGAATACCAGCGTAAAATGGCAGCTCGACACTGCTGTTTTTCGTATGGTGAGTGTAGAGATTTTTATTATATATAAATGATTTACCGAAAGTGACTAAACATCAATGCATAATGTTTGCTGATGACATTTCCATTATTGTTAAATCGAATTATAATGACAATTTAAATAGTTATGAAAATGACATTAATAATACAATTCATAATATAGTTCAATATCTAAAATTAATTAATCTAAATGTAAATCTAAACAAGACCAATTTTATAAATTTTAATATAAGAAGACGAGCAGTAAACAATCTCAATGTGCTGTACAAAAATATAACTATTGAAAGGACTACCATGGCTTCATTTTTGGGTGTAGTACTTGACGAGAACTTAAATTTCACCGGCCACATTGACAAAATTTGTAATAAAATTAATAGGTTTGCTTTCGTCTTAAGGCGTTTAACTAAGATAACAACGCTCAGCGTAACTATGACTGCTTATTATGGTTACGTCGCGTCTAATATTAATTATGGTCTGGTTCTGTGGGGCAACAGCATTGAAGTAAATAGAGTTCTTATCGCACAAAAAAAATGTATACGTGCTATATGCGGTAAAGGTCCATTTGATACATGCAAGCCCCTATTCATTAAGCTGGGTATATTAACAGTCCCTGGCATGTACATATTACAAATATATAAATTTGTCAAACAACATGCAGAGTTATTTAAGTCAGCTTGTGATATATATCCACGAAGCACTAGAGATAATAAGCGGCTTGTCCTAGACCATAAACCAAAAACTTCTCTCTTTCAGAAAGGTTGTTACTGCATGTGTATAAAAATATTTAATAAAATTCCAAAGCAGTTCAAGCACGGCTCTATGATTCTCATGACCAAAAAGTTACGTGAATGGCTAATAAAAAAATGCTATTATAGTGTTAAGGAATTTCAAAATGATAATAATATGCAAGTTGACATGTGATGGACAAAATTGCTGTGTATCACTGAGTATCACTATTTTATCTGACCTTTAATTAATGATCGGATGTATTTAAATTTAAATTTTAATTATGACATTGACATTTTAAATTACGACATTTTGAATTATATAACTTACATTTAATAAGTTGACAATTTAGAATCTATTACCACCAACATAATTTGTACAATTTAAAAAAAAGTTTGCATGCCGTACCTCATGGCTAAATAGGTCTTAAAGCAACTTATTTTTATTGTAAAAACCTATAATTTACCCTATTTATGGCAAATAAATGAATTTGAATTTGAATTTGAATAGAGAACCGGAGACACGTTTTACTGGAAAAAGGGCATTCCATCTTAGTCCTCACGTGTGACGACGCATCTGCATTTTGATTATTTATTGAGGATGGTTATAGATGTCTATGGGTCACAGCAACCACTTACCATCAAGTGGACTGTGTGCTTGTTTGTCACCCAATCCTATAAAAAAAAATGTACCTATACCAATATATTGAGTCCGAAAATAAATGATAAATAAAATTAAAAAAAAAATACTGTCAGTCGTAGGACTGCACGTCAGTAGTGAAAAGTTCCTAGCTTCACAAACTTTTTTTATATATCTATCTGAGTGTGACGGTCACTCGCATTCAGTCGTTTCCCCATCGTGCGCAACGTGCCTAAAGATGTTTTCACTCCAATAAAATATAATCTGTGAGTATAAACTTAATCTGTCAAGTTGTATATAAATTAAACGATCACT